AAAAAAAAAAAAAAAAAAACTCCAACTTTCTAAGGCAGTTGTTCGCTGGGACAACTCTTCACTGTTGGTTTATAATGACGTGTGTAATACGTTTGGAAAAGCGCCTTCGGTGTCGGAGGAATTCGCCCTGAACTAACGCCTGCCTCCTTCGGTCCTAGGTGAGGCTGCAGGTCGGGCTGTACGCCGTGTACCTTCTGGACTGGTTCGCGGTCTTTAATAAAGAACAGTTCCTCATTCTCCGCCTGGAGGACCACGCCTCTGACGTCAAGTACACCATGCACAGGGTCTTCCAGTTTCTCAGCCTCGGTACGAATGTCGCACTGGAGGCCCACGGAGCAGGGCGCGAGCTCCAAGGACACCGGCTCTGTGAGGCGCTCCCCGCGTCGCACGCAGACCCCTGAGCCGAGCAGGGCGGGGCTGAGCCGGGAGGCCAGTTAGTACCTGTTTGTCAAGCACCACGTGCACACGGGGCCTCGCGCATGGTGTGGGGAGCCGTCTCTGGGGAGGAAGAGATGGCCTCTCGTCTGGGAGCTCCCTCACTGGAGGGAGAGGAGGAAGCCGAGGCTCGAATAACCGAGTAACTGGTAGAGTGACATGGGGGAGGTTAGCGATCTCTCGGTGGGTCCGTACACGTGACTTGGGGGCCCAGCCGCTGAAGCGATCCTGGAAGGGAGGGTGTGAGCTGCGCCTTGAGGATGGACAGGGTGTCTGGGCTCCTGGGACCGTCTCGCAGAGGCCTCAGGGCCTGGGGCGGGGGGGTGGGAGGGACAGGTCCATGCTTGTCTCAGCTTTGCTGGGAACCCCCGGAGGCAGAGCCATGTGGCTGGGTTTGGGCTCCTGGGCCTCTAGGGAGCGGAGCCTGTCCCCAGCCAGAGGAGACCATCCCCCAGAGTCCCGAGTGGCACTTTGTGGCAGCAGGCCAAGTCGCTGGCCACGGTGACGGCTGGTAGAGGCATGTACACGGGTGCAGGGTGCTCCCCCGTGGATGGCACTCAGGACCGCTGGAGAGGCTGGAGCATCCTGAACGTTCCTCCCCAGAAGCCCCCGCGGCCCTGTCTCATGAGCTTGCCTGGGAATTTTGTTAATTGAACTTTTCCTGAAATCTGTTTGCCCACCAGTGGGACTCGGGACCCTTTTGTCATTTGATTTTCTTTTTCCTTTTCTTGGAGAGCTTGTAATGTGATGGAGTGTGATTACTTTTTCCTTTTAAGGCCTTTTGATTTGGCCACCTGTAGACTCTGTCACATTCATGAGCTTGTCTTTAATCCCTAAGATGGACAGTAAGGCCCGTCCTGTTCCTCCCCGAGGGCACTGGGATGTAGCTTTTCTGTGCATGGGCTCAGGACTTCAGACTGATTGCGAGCCTGGGGCACAGAGGCCCGAGCAGTGGTCCTGGGGGTTAAGCCAGTGAGAGGCTTGCGGTCCCGAGGGCTGAGGGTGGAAGTGGCAGCCTCAGGGGGCAGCACGAGCTGGCTGGTTCCCGGCCTCTCCGCATGGATGTGCCTGCTGCAGGTGGAGGTTCAGCCAGTGGGGGTCTCTGGGCACAGGTGGCCTCTCCCCTCCCCCACCACGGCCACTTCACAGCACGACACACAGGGTGAAATACTGTCCCATCACGAGGCCCTTTGCATCGGCCTGAAGTGGAAGCAGTGGGGGCAGACTTCCAGTGGCTGGTGAGCAGGAGAGGCTACGTGCAGGGACCGTGTGTGGCAGGTCGCCCAGTTACCCAAGGACAGGCTGGCTCCCCTTTACGGGCAGTTGGAAATGAAACTGCGCCCCAGAGCCCCAGCCTTGCTTCCCAGGGTGGGGTAACACACCGGACCACAGAATCTCTGCTCTTTCACACTGGAATTTCCACCTTCTACCCTCAGCAACTCAGAAATGGATCCAGCCAAAGAATTCGAACCTCCAAACACATTCTTATGGGAAACTCCTGTCTCAACAGGAAGCATGGCTGGGATTTTCTCAAAGTTTCTTTTGCCTCCTGCCTCATAGGCTCTTTCCTTTGTGTTCCAGGGCCCTTAAGTGAGAAACAAGAGGCCTTGATGACCAAGAGCCCCGCATCCAACGCGCGGCGTCCCGAGGACCGGAGCCTGGGGCCCATGTGGCCGGTCACACAGAGGCTCCTGCGGGACTTCTACGGGCCTTTCAACGCCCGGCTGGCGCAGGTCCTCGCCGACGAGGCCTTCCTGTGGAAGAAGACGTGAGGCCGGGTTCCCGCTGCCACCATGATTTCCATGCTTTGAAAATCTCTCTTGGTGGGGAACCCTTTCGCTCAGAGCCTGGAGAAAACCCCTCCCCAGGCCCACGTTTATGGAAACCAGTTCAGAATTTCCTTTGTGATGTTAAACAGCCCGGCGATGGACCCTTCACCGAGCCTCGGATGGAGGCTGTTGGAAATTCCACTTGGGAAAGGGTCCCCTTCTGCTCCGAGAGTGGCTGGGGTCCGTGATGAGGCCGGCGGACGCTGGGCTGGGTGCCGGGAGGGAAGCGTGGAGTCTGGGCTTTGACAATTCTGGGTGGAGGTCCTGCCCCGGGGCTGGCCAGACGTACACTATACATTCAGCTTCGAAACCCTCTGTTTAGATCACTAAGCTCATTTTGGCGGAGAATGGAGGCTCTCATTTTTTTTTCCCTTTTACCCCAAAGTCAACCCTTCCGTCTCTTCGGATTTAAACACTGTTAACTTCGCTGTTGACGAGAAAAAAGACACAAGTCGATTTTTGGTAGCACATTCGTGTCTCGGACCTCCTCCCCTTCTGGCCTTGTGGACTTCACTTATGTTTAACAGAAAACGAACGCATTTAAAACAAACCAGTTTCTACGTTTCACTGGCTGGAGCTTTCTCTTCTGCCCCTTTAGATGTTTTCTCAAGGGTTTTTTCAGTTTCTAATTGGAATGTAACTTCAGTTTAAAATCGGAAGGGAAATTTTTGCTGTTAATGCCAGACTGAGCACCTCGAAGGAACTGATGGAAAATTTGGGCATCTTGGCCGTCGCTGTGCATCTGATGGTCCTCAGAACCGCAAACGTTTGAGGTTTTAGTTGCGGGTGCGACAGGCTCCGCTGCTCTGCCTTTCTTCCCAAGTGAACTTGTTAGCACATTCTCTGCCGTGTGTGGCCAGAGGTCCTTCCTCACTCGGCGAACTGCAGGACGCTTTTTTATGATTCGGAAGCACAGCACATGAGCTATGCCTGGGCCGGACATGCTGTGCTGGGATTTGGAACGAGAATGCCGGGAGGTGTGTCCTTGACAGAACTTCCTGGGCCACTTGGCATCCTGGTTTACTGTTGGATGGGCTGAAGGTCTTGCTGTTATTTGGAGGTGATGGGAAAGGTTGAACACAGTCCTTGCATGCAGCCCCAGGTGGGACCCCAACCAAGCTTTTCACGTGGTTGTCAAGAGAAGCTTCTGCGAATCAGAGCTCCCCAAGTCGAGGTCCCGGATGCACACCAGTCAGAGAGTGCAAATGCCTACATGCCCAGCCGCCAGTCGTGGGAGTGAGGATTTGCTGAGCTGTCCAGCCCTAGTGCCGTTGGAGATGGGATGCTCGGCCCATTTGAAGGCGTGTGGAGGGCTCTGAATGGCACGGCCGGGCTGTTTCTGCTGTGAAGGAGCCATGGGCCTGAACACCCGCTTTCAGGGACAGGCCCCCATTTCTCTCCTGGTGGCCCTCGGAGCAGCAGCCAGCAGGCAAACCTGGCCTGAGCATAAGGTGCCGTAGGGGACGTCACTTGCATGTGCGTGTGTATTTATTTGCAGTGCAGGTGCGGTGTGGGGTGTGTGTGTGTGTGTGTGTGTGTGTGTGTGTGTGTGTGCGTGCGTTTCTGAGCAGGCTCCCTTCAGTTCTGTTGCTGGTCAGCTTTCTCCGCTCTGGCCACACCCCTTCATGGATTTATTTCTCTTTCAGTTCACTTGTCACTTTCAGCCCAGATTTTTGCTCTTCGGCCCCGACTGTAATTACAAGGACTTTTCTCACGCACCCCTGTGCATGTGAACAACATGTAACGTAATTCTGCTTCTTACAGAAGTATTACTGGAAAAAGTCTTATTTCCAATATTATTTGGTTTACTATACAAATCTTTTTATAGACGATCCCTTGGTGCCGATCAGCGCCTGCAGACCCGGTTTCTCCAGGGGCCTTTCTCCAAAGGGCTGTCTGTCTGTTCCTTTGCTTTCCTCTGTTCTCTCTCACTCGAGGCCCCACTCTTGGTGACAGCACAGCTGCCCTTTCGAGCCATGGTCCTCGAGCCTGTCATCTCAAACCAAAGCGAAATGGAGGATTTCTCACGACCCGGTCTGGAAGTTCCTTTGTGTCCCCAAAGCTGTGCATCGGGTTGTATTAAATTGTACTCCCTTAGTCGCGTAAGGTATGTTAATGAACCACTGTTATGCTGTACGTTTATTAATATTGAACATAATTAAATGTGGACCCCTGTGACTGGGACCCGGGGGTGCATGCCCTTCCTCATAAGCCGTCAGAGCACTTGTGGGAGGTTTTCCGCCGTGTCCACTGTGCGTGAATGAACCACGGGAGCAGTTCTGTTTCTCACCTGCGTGTGACGTGCACCCGGTACGCAGGGGACCTGCCGCACGTGGTGACGGTACGGGAGAGTAGAGCAGGCGGGAGAGGTCAGATGTTACCAGGGACTCCCTCGTGAGGCCAGCCAGGGGTGTGAGTCAGGGCGGCGAGGTCCAGCCCTACCCACAGACGGGTCATCCTCGGACATTTAGATTTGATGGTCGGGTGACCGCAGGACCTGCTGCTCCCAGCAGGCTGCTGCCCTCATTCCCGGGGCCTGCCTGGCCCCTGGGGGCTGCGAGTTTGAGACCCCTGGTGTCACTGGGTGCACGGCATTGTCACTGGACGCTCAAGGCCCCCACGTGCAGCCAGGGCAAGCCTGAGAGATGAGGTCCTCTCAAGTTTGGGGCTCTGGAAGCCAGGGCCATCCTGGGGGCAGCGGGGAGCCTGGGTTGGTCCCCGAATTCTGGGAAGACTCACCCTGGGCGAGCATCTCCCCAGCACTGCCCCCCATGGTTGTGTGCTGGGGAAAGAGGGGCTGGCGAGTCCAGGCCTGGAAATGAGGACCGCAGCTCTCGATGGCAAAGCCAGGGACGGCTTCGCTCAGCAGGGGAGGTGCTGCGCCTGGGAGGGGAAGCGGCCGGTGGGGGACGCGGTTCGGGACAGACGGGCGAGTCTGGAGGGCGGATGGCACAACTCCCTCCCCCGGGGCCTGTCCAAAACCCTCTCTGCTGTGGGACCACCTCCCGCCCTGACTCGGGAACCAGCTCTCAGGGAACATTCTGATGAGGATAACCTCCGTCTTCGTGTAAACCTCCCCTCGGAATGACCTCTCCCCAGATGACTCCATTTGGGAATTGAAGCAAAGGCCACGCGCTGCTGGAGGAACCTGGGCCTCGTCCAGCCGCGAGAGGCCTTGTGTGTGGGCAGGTGTTTTTCTGTTGCTCCAGGATCCTCACCCTGTGGGCAGATCCTGTTGAGACTCTAGGCTAAAGACCTCACTTTCCCAGAGCTTCACCTGGCAGGGCTGCCTGCAGAGCAGCCCGGGGAGCTATGTTAGCTGCAGCAGGTTACACCAGACCGTGTGGCTTAACCTAACACCACAAGGCCATTACCTCACAGGTCTGGGGGTCAGAGATCCAAGCTCAGCCTCACGGGGCTCAGGTCACGATGTGGGTGGGCAGGACTGGCGCTTCCTGGAGGCTCTGGGGAGAAGCCGTTTCCTTGCCTTCTCCAGCTGCCAGAGGCCGCCTGCATTCCTTGGCTGGTGGCCCCTTCCTCCACCTTGAGACTCTCTCTGACACTGTTTCCCTCGTCTTGTCACCTTCTCTGCTTTTCCCCCTCTGGCCTCTTGCAAGGACCCTTGCCATGGCTCTGGGTCCACAGGATGCTAATGCAGGATCATCTCCCCATCTCAAGGTCACATCTGCAAAGCCCCTTTTGCCAGATAACGTGACATTTATAGGTTCCAGGAACTAGAATGCAGACATCTTTGGGAGCCGTTATTCAGCCAGCAATAGGGGAGTGGGTCCTGTAGGCGGGTCGGCAGTCAGAGGATGGAGTGGGTGCCCACTGGTCTGTCCCTTTCGGCTGTGCCCTGAGGGACCCACGCAGGTCTGAGTGCCTAGCAGAGGGCTGAGCTTCCCGACACGTCTGTTCTGAGATGGCGAATCTTCCTGTCCAGGCAGGACCCTGTGACTGGAGTGAGGGGGACAGGGTGAACGGCAAGTTGTCCTTTTGTATGCTTCTCCCGAGTGAGCCAAGTGGTGGCCCCAGGCCCGGATAGGGTTCTTTCTCCCTCAGGAGACCCACAGAAGCCACATGGGCAGTTTCGAGTTTCTCCAGTTCAGCTGTTTCTGAGTGAGTTATGCTCCCAAGGGAGCAGCTTGTGAAAACTACAAGTATGGTTAGAATGTTTGCTGGCCCCTGAGAGAGTCTCGGGGGCCAGTGGCCTCGTGGCCCCATGCTCCGGGGATGCTTTTGGAAGGCAACCGCCAGCCTCACTTTCAGTGCTCGTGCCTGATGGCCCCCAAGCTGGCCTTGACTCCACGACCTCGACCCTGTCCCTGCTCCCGAAGCCCCGCGCCGTCAGCCTGGCCCTTGTCCCCAGCCCTCCCGCCCCTCCCGCTCTGGGTTCCCATCCTTTGTAGAATTGCCCCTGCTCAGGTTCCGAGTGGCAGGGCGGAGGCTGGGCGGTCCTGGGTCTCTTAGGCCTGCAGGTTGCTGTCCTGAGAGCCTGCAGGTGACGAGGACGCCACAGAGGCGGAAGTGGTGGCATCTCAGTGACTGCAGCAGGCCCCCGAGGAAGAACGGTTTCCCCTCGGCCGCCACCTGGGAGTGTCCGCGTCTTCCTGCCGGGGGCCCAGGACCCGCCCAAGCTGCACCTGTGCTCGTTACCCGCACGCTTGGGGCGAAGCAAGGAGTAGGGTGGTCCATCCTGTGTGACCGCCCTGCTCTGTGGGTGCCCAGCTCCGAGTCTGGGGCACAGACGAGAGTAGGAAGGGGGCTTCCTTTCCCACGGTGGAGGACCCCATGGGTGCAGCGGCACAGGGAGCACGGAGGCCGCTGGGGCTCCTGGGGCTTTCTGGTGCACCGCCGGCTCTGTGTGCTCTGAGCAGCCCCTTTGAGATCAGGCCCCGGTCAGATCTCGAAGTAGGTGAGTCTGAAGCCTGGGCCTCTCTGAG